AACATGCAGATCCCGAAAGGCGTAGATGTAGATGTGAAATTGAAAAATCTGTTGTCCTTGCGAAAATGTAATTATAATTAAACAAATCAACACACCCTAGTGAATAGGGTCCAAAGCCAATTAGGGTTACTATGGCTCGGCCTTCGACGAACTGCAAAAATCACAGGCCAGCAAAATTGCACACAAATTTAAAAGCCACCCCTCCTCCGAAATTATGGATATAGAATGGCACGCCCCTTTTCTTTTATTCCTGGCCCTAATCAAGTCCAGGCCGTATTCTTATCTTATTGTCTCAGCAATTTAATATTTATGCAGCCGAGGGGCAGTGGGAATATAAGGTGGATTGGGGGCCCTACAGTCACGGTCCAGTTTAACCTCCATTTGCACCGAGGCCCTGCGGAATCCCAATCCCACTTCCGGGTCCAGTTGCCCAGTCCCCTTCCCTAATCATCATTTCGCCTTGTTTTCTTTTCATTTTCCATACAATTTTCCGCTCAGCCGTTTTTTCCAGCAGCCCCACCCTATTTTTGATGTTGCCCCGGGGAGGGCTGAAGTAATTGTTGCGCTGCCTGGCACGCCCCCAAGCCAGTTGCCGCCCTCGGCGTGGCACATTAAAGTCAGGCGAAACGGGAATCGCGAATATCTGCCCATCCCGGAGGGTCCAGAAACAGATAGCTTGGCTTAGTCCGAATCGGAGCTGGTCGAAATATTTGTTATTTGTGCTGTAAAAATGGCTGGTCTCCTTTCAACTCTTTCCCAATTCAGTTTGGCTCAGTTAGTTTAGATCATCATCATTCTCGCTGTGGCGGAGCTTTTGCTATAGTATTTTTCAATCCCAGGGAATGCATAGCCTGCAACGGGTTTTTATTAAATTCCGCAATCGAATTGCAGGCATCGCCCCCTATCCCCGAACGCCCTATCCCGGCCAGATCCTTATGAACTTTTACAGAGCCATTATATGCAAATGATGAGAGTGGAGAAAGCAAATATTGCTACCTCGGGCACTGGCCACAGTGGGCAAGCCGAAGGAGTCGAGCAGGACCATGCACACGCACTGCCATTGTTTGTCCTGGCTGGCAGGATGAGAATGCGGATGAGGATGGTCCACAGTGCCGACTCATGTGCGGACATTTACATAGGCAAACAGCTTCGGCTGCCGGCCCTGTTCATCTACTGGTATCCTGGTATCCTGGCGCTCCGGCATCCTTGGTGTCCTGGCACGAACTACTAATAAACCAAGGAACAGCAACAACAATGGCGCTGGCAGCGGATATTAAGCCTGAACCGGCCCCGAGGTCCCAAAAAAAGAGAGGTATCCTGCAGGCTAGGAGATAGGGAGAGAGGCCAGGGAAAAACAGACAAATAGGAGGAAAAAGCGGCTCGACCTTAGAAAAAGGCCAACTCCCTAACGAGGCTAACTTTTTGCCAAAGATTAAAGATGTCCGGCAAAAGTGTAACGATACGGATACAGGAACCTGCCCCAAGCAGTGGAGCTCCCCGCCCATCCGCCAAAAATTCAGGACCTACGACACCGATGACAGCTTAAACAAGCACCGCCAGGGGGCGCTGCAGCAACAGATGAGCTTTGGACATTTTCGAGAGCATTCCCGCAGGCGAAACGGAATCGAACATGATTTGTCACCTATTAACATCCACAGTGGGCAGGACTGTGCACTTTGGTGTTTGAAATAAGAGAGTAGATCAAGAAGAAATTGAAATTGAGAAGCCCAAAGAACAGTGTGCACTAAAATAGAAAGTAATATATTTAGGATTTGATTTGCTGTCTAGCTTACTTAAGCGCTAATATCGATCCTTCACCCTACTCGAGAAAATTAATCGACCAGACTGAAACCATTTCCTGCCAAAGTTTGGACTTGTTAGGAACTATGCACGCGTGGAATCCTATAATATTGGGAAAGGATTCATAGGAGAGGAGGTAGATCCCGCATATATTTTCGTGTCATATGTGAAAAAGTTTTCCCTTCATTCTATTTCCCATTTGGCTTTCGCACCCTCCATTCCCTAGTTACATCGTATACGAATATTTCTGGGTATTTTTGCGTCCTTTGCAAATTTAATCACTTAACCCCAATGAAGTATGAAAGGAAACTTTTGTCGCCCACAGAAAAAGTTGACAGAAGAAAAGGCAGCAGCAGCAAAAGTGAACGAAATTCACTTTTCCCCAAGCCAATGCACAGTCAAAAAATGCACAATCTCCATGGAATGACATGAATTTCTTGTAGATTTGTAGTTGTCATTTAATATTCAATACCTTATATAATAGGGAAATATTGAAGATATATTGAAAATTCTACTTGTTTGTCGGACATTTTTTGAAGTGTGAGGGAGCGGGAAATTGATTTTTGACTTGGCAAAGGTCGCAGCCTGAGCATATTAATTTCACTCAAACCCGAACTTCAACTCCGGCAAGAACCAAAGGATGCGAGAACTGCCATTGTGTGCCCTGTTGACACTCTGCACGTGATGTGTGTGTATGGGTGTGCCTGTGTTAGCGTGTATTAAGTGTGTTGGTGAGTGTGCCAAGGCGCCCAAATGACAAAGTTGCTGGAATTACCTAAAAGCGAAACTTTTGCTGAAACTGCTGCTGCCTCTATTGATGCATCAGCTGTTCGCAGGCTCCTTCAGATAGTTACAGTAGTACCTCGTGGTAGGCTACGGCTTAGTTCAAGTTGATATTATCCAAAATCAAAGTCGAGTTTCTATTTCTAATGAGGCTAAATATGTTCTTTATTTTTTCTGTAGGTACTTCCGATCGACTAGGATTTTATTTCTAAGCTTCTCAGAAAATTACCAATGCTATTTTAATTTTGAATTTTTTTTTTACATTTCAAGACTAATGTTCCCCCCTTGGTTCCAATCAAATTAGTGCATCTTTATTCATTTTCACTAAGAAATTTAAATACATTCGCTCTATGGCATTTTTTTTCGAGGGACATGACTGTTGTACATTTTTTGGCAACGCCACTGCTTTTGTGCACAGTTCCATTTGCTGTTTGACTCTTAAGCAGAATTAATGAGAGCTTGTAACCTAAATTCCCTGGAAAATCAAATAAAAAGTTTTTCTGTTTATTCTGCGCTTCTGTATTTATTTTACCTTTCCTCATGCGCATTTTTCTTTGTTTTGGATGCTGGCCAGCAAGTGCTCCAAAGGAGTTTATTTCTCATAGAGGACATGGTGCTTGCGGAGAGAATCTCTACCAAAAACTTCACCTGTGCAGTCTCATTAATGTCCTTTGGTCCCTGCATACATTTCTCCTTCGGGTTGCCGCCCTTCCTTCGCAAAGCTGAATGGCATTTGTTGCAACTTTTCCTGCAAATTGTGGCAAAGTACTTGCTGCAAGTGGCTGCTTTAAGTACTCGGTATTCTCTCACTTGTGGGTGTTTGTATGTGCATTTCCATGGTTTCCGTGTACATATATTACCGTACATACTCGAGTTTGGATATCCTGACAGGTTCGCCATTTATGTTCATTGGCAAGCTTGTTTGTTTGGTTTTCCCCTTTAACGCAAGCCAATTTGCGTTAGCCGTTTCTAGATGAACATTAACTTTATAATATTAACATTTATAACACCCAACTGAGCTGTTCTGAAATAAATAATGGCCCGTTTTAGTAATTTAACATTTTAATTTTTGTAGTTTTTTTGACAGGTTCACTTTCCGTTTCTAGAATGGATTCCATCCTCTGCTTCATTGAAGAAGATATTTGTAGAGTGACCTTTCACCTTCCATCTTCTTACTTGACGTTTTGATCCTATTTCTTGCCCTCTAATTCAATCAGTTTGAATAGCTCATCCATAAGTTAATTGAAAACCAGTGCAAAACTTGTTGTCAAAGTGTCTCTCATCATATTTTCGCTCGAAAAGTGTTTATATTCTCGACTGGACATGACGTTGCACTCAACCCAAGGCAACTCATCTGAAGCGACAACAATTGCCAGTCCAAGCCATGGATATAGATAAAGATAGGGATATAGATACAGATGTTGTCATTGAGATTGATATGGACTAGTGGGGGACTTGGCCTTCCCTTGCCCGTGCGGACAATAATATCCTCTCACATTTTATTACACTTGTAATGTGCAACGATTGGAGAAAAGGCAAGGGAAAACTGTGGGCTGGAAAAGCCTGCCTCGGGTGCTGTAATGTGCGACCCACCGAAGAAGTGGGTGGGCGTGAGTGTGTACATGTTCCATATATTCCTGCACTATGTGTCTCCGCCCCACCCACAGTGAGCGAGTTTGTATCAATGTCAATATTGACAATAAACAAGTTTGCCATAAAGTGCTACAAGACCCGAAATAAGTCGTTGGGCCAAGTGGACAAAACCACAGTGAGCGCCAGGAGTCTTCTGCCCGTCCTACTTTATATGAATGAATGAATAGTCCTGCCGCCATAGCAAATCATCATTTGCTGTCAACGCATTGCCTTATTATGTATAATGTAATTTACAGCACGTAACCACTCTCGTAGAAAGCACTTTAACAAATTAAGCGAAAAAAGAGTTTCCGATAAAATGGGTAAAATGTTTTTATAAATTATATAAAGTATACATTATGCACCGAAGGGTTCGGGGGAGTCCATCGGTCATTTTGCTGGTCAGTTGACGCGGGCTCCAGTGAAAACAAACTTTGGTAATTAATTAAAAATTTCCAGCTACATAAATCAATCAGGCGTCCGCCGTTTGCATCCCACCGTCAATTAAAGTGTTTAAGCACCTGAAAAAACCTATTTAAAGGTTTAGCCATTGAGTTCTGCCCAGATGTACTCTTCCAGAAGGCATTTAATTGGGAATATGCGCTCCAAAATTCACAATCAATTGAAATATGCAATCAGCAATGTCATTTGGTGTTACCAAAATCATATTTTATACTTTACATTTACTTACACCTTATTCAAGCCCATATACCCGGAACCTCGGGCCAATAGTTGGTCAACTCCGCCTTAATTCGTCTGCTCTTCCTTCATTTATTCCAACGCAGATTTCCGCGTCGCTGGACTGAGACTGACCGAGGTTCGCATTCCGATGTACGTGATTAAGGGCACCGCGGCCCAGTTGGAGTGTCTGTACGATCTGGACGGCGAGGCCCTCTACTCCGTGAAATGGTACAAGGATGGCAACGAGTTCTACCGCTATGTGCCGAGGGATATGCCGCCTGCCCAAACGTTCCTGCTGCCTGGTGTCAACGTCGATGTGAGTACCCCGTATATCCTATTATTACTGGAGAGCGAACTGAACAAAGTTTCTGTTGCTGTTGGTGGCGGTGTCCTACTAAAACTAAACATTACAAACAGCGTTGCATACTTTTGTGGTAGCTGCCGAAAGAACAATGCAGGGGCAGCTTTCCCCTCTTTCTCTTTGCAAAAGTTCTGCATCTTCACATGGACAAAAAGACTAGTAACATGTACTCAAAATAATTAATTGACTCGCTGCATTACATACACTTTTTTCATATTTAAAATTTCCTTTCATATAGTAAGCTTTAATATTCTTGAAGAACACATGATGCCCCTCTTTTTTAACCAAGTTCCGTTTTTCATCAATACTTTTTCCCGTGTACACCGCATCTATTTTTTGGGAAATTGTTCCGTGCTGTGGCAAAGGTGATTTGGTGAGAGGAAAGCATGGGAGTCCTTGTCTCTGCAGACAATGCGATATCTTCAGTGCGAAAACTAAGGGACAAAAGAAGCTCTGCACTTAGTTTTGGGCTTGAATGGCAAGGCAGGAAACTGGGCCTCTGCTCGGTCGTGAAATGAAAACGGGGAAGGAGAAAATTTTAAAAATATTTAACGAAACAAGGAAATAAAGACCTTTCAAACTAATTGCATAATAAGAGCAGATAGCTCTTAACTAAGCTTAATTGCTTAATTGGTGAATAGCACACAAGTAGAATGACGGAGATGTTTAGAAACCGCCTTAAGCTCAGTTATTTTAGATTATTGTGCATAAGTTTAAAAACTTTTCAATGCCAAAACTTCACCTTTAGTTATCTGCGCAGTATTCAAACTGCCACACTAAAGAGATACAGCATATATGCTAGGTACATGCAATGCTCAGAATAAAACAAAGTTTTATTTTAATATGCCCTGAATTTTCTGAATTGCATTTCACTCGAACTTCGTGGAACGCTTAAAGCCAAGTTAAGAGCTTTGCGAGCAAATACAGATAGCTTGTCAAACATATGCCAAGAGAGATAAAACATTCGCAGATCGAACTGTTTAATCGACCGCAAAAATAGAATGAGTGTAGGGCACTTCTTCAGGCGTTGCTCCATTATTTTAGCCACTAAAACTTTGGCACGTAACAATGCACTCCCCCCCAAGCCCCCTGGAAAAGCGGAGATGGGGGTGCTGTGGGGGAAATTGGGGGGAAGGGGTGCTCGGGCTGGAAAAGCGAGTTTCAGATAAGCACGTGAGCAGACAATCGCAGCCAGTTGATGGTTACATTCGACATGCCACGCTCGCCTTTCTTGCCATAGGATTTCCCATTTTCCCGCATTTTCCTCTAGTTGGCCACCGAAAAAGTGAAATCTGCTTTCCCATGCATGCATCCCCCCACCCCGCAGTCCGACCCTGTCGCTCGTTAAGTGCAATAAATATTTCAAGTTGCGCTTTGCGTTTGCTGCCGGTAGGGGGCGTGGTCGTCGGAGTGTCCATAAAGCGCGTTGCGCTCGCCGCATAAAACTCCACACTCTGCGATCCACGCTACACATTACCACTAAACGATTTCCGCTCGCCACCACAGTGGCTTGGAGCAATATTGCGGTCTAAACGAATGAAAAGTGGTAGTACTGCGGTGGATATCAATCCACATTTGTTGATATGGGCGGCAAATCGAAGTAAAGCAGTAATGAGAGTGACATTTGCCATTCGAGTGAGACTCACAGTTAAAGAATACTTAACATTTTTCAGCGCAGTGCTCTAGTTAAGACCCGTTTCGGGACCTCAAGGTTCCACACCACTCCTTTATCACCTTTTAATGGGCACATCATTTCAAGCACTCAATTCGCCAGCGCAACCCACTGTGCGCTGCTCTTTTCGCCGCTTGGCGGTGAACTTTTTGATGTTGCGAAAGGACTGTGGGGAGGACTACGGTGGGACTCACAGAAGATGCCAGTTAGCGATAAGCAATTGAGGCGGGTGTGTGCCGCAGCTCCATTTGCTGGATATTGTTTTAGCATAATCGATTTGAGTGACTGCGGCGGGGAGATATACGTGTGCGCAGGGGTCTTCTGCTGCTGTTTTAGCTTGTTTTATTGCAGTTGGCCAATAGTTGGCTGTTACTCCGGCCAACTTGGGACTTGGACGTGCGGTTTACCTGGGCTCAACTCCCTGGCACATCCGTGTGTTTGTGTGGCAAACTATAAATTAGGTTAAAACAACATGGGGGAGGGCAGGGGCCGGCTAAGAATGCGCAATAAAAGATAACAAAGTGCACTTTTCTGCTTGGCCAGATAACAAAGTGGGGGTGGTGTGGGTGGATTTGGCAGTTCTGGGGCTAAACAACACGCAGCTGATCTCCTTATCCCGCACCAATAGCCTCTCTCACATTTGGACCCGGATTTAATGGCTTTAAGTTCAAGTGAAATATTTGCCTAACCCTTTTTCGGTCTGACATTCAGCGCTGACCCTTCGAGCGGCCCTATTTTTAAGGTGCAGGAGGCGCTGGGACATCCCCGACATTTAAAAGGCATTTACGGGGGGGTGGAAAAAACAAGAAAGGCAAGAAAAAAGAAGGCCAGCTTGAAAACAAGCGAAGCTGCGGCAATTTTCAAAAGCAATTACGTTACATTAATGTCCAAAGTGGCTGCAGCAGCCCCTGCCCCTCGACAAGCCCCCTCGCCAACGCCTCTGGCTGATGGTATTGAAACTGCCAATGACAACGCCAAGAGCTACATTGAAAAGGGGGTTTCTCCTGGCAGCTGCAACTTTTTCCCACTTTTCGTTACATTAATTTTAACCAGCCATCTCCTGCGTCCCCATCATTCAACAATTTCCCTCGATTCAACAAAGTCTTTCCTTCTACCCTATGCTCAGGTACTTTCACTTTACGTAGACCAGTTCTTCTAATATTATTTTAGAAATTTATTTTAGCTAAAACCAGGCACTAGAACCAGGCAGTGTAATCCATAAATATTTGATATTTTTATTTAAGCAATAATGTTTTAAGACAGCGTTTGTATGATCGAAAATTTATATTTGTTTGTTTTAAGCAGTATTCATGTACATCAATCCTGCGGATTGCTGGGAAAAGAGCATGCAATATTTGCCAAAAGCAAACCCCCATCGGATATTTTCCCAACTTCTGACCGTTACTTTCTGCTCTCGTTTTTAATTGCAGTTGCACAACTCGAGCGACGCGATTGTTACGCTGCGCAACGTCAATCTGCAGTCGGCGGGCCGCTTCCGGTGCGAAGTTTCTGGCGAGGCACCCTCCTTCCAAACGGTCACCGAGCACGGCGACATGATTGTTGCATGTAAGTAGCATATACAAGTATATTCCCCGGCGCACATACATACACGAGTATATATATACTGGCTGGGTCGGGCGAAAACTTATAACTCTAATTAGAAATTGCGGCCATTTGGCGCTGACTGCTGTGGCCCAGATGCTGTGGCTAGAACTGGCAATGGGAAACGGGGTCCTGTCGGTGGGTAGTTGACGCTGACTTTGACTTTTACTCCTGCAACTTGTCACAGGACGGCAGTATTAACCCTATAAGAGCAATTTACTTCGACTTGACTTGGTCTTGACTGTTCCAGGCTGCTAAGCTATTGAATTCATATGCGGGTAGGTAGATTCGGCACCTAGTGGAATTTGCATAATATATTACTGGCTAGTGCTGGAAAGCAAAACTAATTAAAAAGCTTTCAGAAATTAAAAGTAAAACGAAGATCATAATGAAATGAGTGAAATGAGCCATTGCTAGAAACTTTGCGCATTACCCAGCACTCTAGCCACCAGATGCCTGCAAAAAGTTTCTCTTTAAGCGAGGATTCCCATCAGGTAAACACACTTACCCCATTAATCGTCACCAACTGTCTGGAGCTTGGCCTTGGCCTGGGTCATTTACTTGGCCCCGAACTAAACTGGCAACTCCAAGTGATTCCAGCAGGCTGGCCCAATCAGCTTTATTCAATCGGAGTTGTGTTTACTTAGTCAAAAGCATTTGCAGTGCATTTGACAGGCTTCATTTGATTTCATGCTTCTAATGCCAAATAAGCTTACTGAACTTGGTCCGTGCTCCCACTTTCACCCCGGGCCAAACTTGCCAAAGCTTAACGGTTTAACTCAATTTGGAGGTTGTCTGTCTTGGGCTCCCGTGGCTCTTGTCTTGGCCAAAATTCCTGCAGGGCAATGCCAAAATTTTCTCGAGACGCCGCCGCAAAACTGAAAACGCAAACAAAACGTCAAGTAAGCCGCAACTTTAAGGTGCGCGTTATTATTCATCGACCCACATTTTGCACGGCGAATAGTTTTCACTGCCTTATTTAGCAAGTATTGTGTTTATATCTATGGTGAAAACTATAGCTAATAAACAGCAATGGCCATGTGGGAAATACACCAATAATGATTATTGTAATCAAACTTATTTAAATTATAGATTAAAAAGGCTTTCTTCAGCCGGTCAGCATATTTAAATAAGTGGCACAAAAACTTGTTTAATGCTCTGAAAAAGTAAAAAAGAAATCTAAATTGGCTCCACTTTCTGCCAGTGTAGCACACCCACTCACCACTACACTTGCAGTGGGGAGCGCTTTGAACTGGCGTTGACATTTCGTTTGTTCAATTATAAAACTTTTGCGTGGGCGTGTCGACACGCCCCCACGCCCTCACCCACGCACCGCCCTTTTTGCAATGGCTGTCTCCCTTTTATTGTTTAACGTGGACTCTGTCTTTGTTCTAAACGGGGGCTTTTGTTGTGCTTTTGTTTCTGGCTCTCGGATGTTTTGTTGCTGGTTCTGCTCATACTGCGGTTCCATCCCGGCTGGCTCTGTTTGGCTATCAATCAAAGTTTTTAAAAGCTTCGGCAGCAGAACGGGCTGGGCATATGCCACGGCTCGCAACTCACCGCCCACCATCCTAGCCCACATCGTGGCATTTGGGAACTCGCCCACAGATGCCTTTTTCGGGGCCCCTTTGGCAAACAACAACAAGTCGAAACCATTTCCGTTTCCGTTTTGCAGAGCCATTTTAACTGCTCGGTCAGGCTGGGATTTGTTTTGGGGTATGGTGATAAAATAGCTGGACACTTTGCTCTCTCAGTAATGAATAATATTTCTGAAACTACAAAAAAAATGGTTAATTCCTAAAGGTTTTTGAATTATACATACTTACTATTTAACTGTTCAGCAAACTACAAATTAGATGCAAATCATAACCTAGTTTCCCCTTATTATTTTTCATCGTTTTCGCAGAGTGTTGGCACATTGGCTAGACAGTTTTTATTGGTTTCCTTGATTTTTGTTTTTCCGCTTGCAGTTTTATCCAAAGCCGTCAGTGCATCAACGGCTGGAACTTTTATTGAATTTCCGGCTGCGTTCCGCTGAGTTTGTTTTCCCTTTGGATTTGGAGCGGTCCTTGTTCCCTCGCTGCTTCTGTGGTGGCTTAGGTTTATTGCAAAATTCAGTTACAATCTCTCGCTGGCCACAGTCACCGCCAAAGGTCCGCGGCCGCAAATGAAATTTCCGCTGTGACGGCAGCCCTAAAACTGATGTTTTTCGCATTTTTCTATTTGATTCTCAGATCTGCCGGACGAGGGATCGCCGAAAATCAGTGGTGGACGACCGCGCTACCAGATCGGAGACTATGTCCGGGTCAATTGCACCGCAGGACGTTCCAAGCCCGCCGTGAAACTATCTTGGCAAGTGAATGGGGAGCCAGTTGAGCAGCAGAAGCTACGCAAATATGACACCATTGTCTCGGGACGCGATGGTCTGGAAACCTCTGTGCTGGGCCTCCAGTTCCGGGTGGAGCAGAAGCACTTTCGCAAGGGCAACATGAAACTTAAGGTGAGTTGCACAACTGAACTAGACTCAACTGTCGGACTCTTGTGGCTCAAAACAGTCCCAAAACAATGTAGCACTTGGTTCGGGTAGATACCAAACGCGCATAGCAGTTCCAAAAACCGTATTATAATTTGTTTTAGTTTTATAAAAAGATGTATTCCCTTATTTTCAGCGAACTTAAGTTTTTTTGTATTTAAAATGTTATTTTAGTGCACCATGTGCCTTACATGTTATTTTCCATTATAAGCTAAAACAAAGAGATGGTTGCATTGTTTTTGACTGTTTTGAAGTCGCGCAAGTTCGACAGTAGTTCGCACGCCCAGCCAGCTAACCCCAAATCTGTTGGATCTTGCAGTGCATAGCCGAACTGTCGACCGTGTACTGGAGGTGCAACGAGGAGTCCGTGGAGGGCGACCGGCCGCAGAAGGCGCCCGTGCTCGAGTCCCGGGAAACGGTCTACGCCAGCAACTCGCGCGCCGATCCCGTGCAAGGTACGTCTTACCGGGAATTATTTGTGACCAAAATCTTATCGCTCTTGTTCGTCCAACCAAATGCAGCCAGTTCCGCGGCTCCACCGTCGTCCAACCCAGCCACGCCCCTCGTCCTCCTTCCGGTGGCGCTGGCGGTGCTGGTGATGGCAACACTGGCACAGGGAATCGCGAGAGATATAGATACAGATAGAATATCCACGGATCGCACTGCGCCTGGAGGGATTGGGATAACGAAAGGAGCTCAGCAGGCGAGAGAGTTGCTGGCTGGCCGCGGGGAGGAAAATCGCAGGACGAGTCACGGAAAATCCGCAACGCAGCTGGAGAAAATGGCATTGACTGCACGGTAGCTGCATTAAGCCACACGGCGGCTATTTCCCTCCACAACACACACTTTTCACCGATTTTTCCGTCTTCGCTTTGCATAGAAAATAAAGAAACTCATTGAGAATCAAAAACAGGAAATCAACAAAAAAAAAAAACAAAAAAAAAGAAACAAAGAAAATCAAGCAAAACGCAAGAAACGCAGCTAATTTCTTTATGCCGTTAACAAAAGCTTTCATGAATTTAATTTGAAACAAAACCTATCTAGAGAATAAATTACATTTACTTGTCTGAGTATGAGAAAAATTGTATGTGAAAAAGCGTGCTAATGGTTTAACTCTCTAAGGAAATGTTAAAGCCTGTGTCGAAAGAAAAATCCAACTGTAAATAGTTAATGTTTAATATATATATTTATGTAACTGTATTGTATGTTATTTTGGTTAGGCTCATTCACACACAAAACAGAATTTCAATATCACACGGACGGAACAGAGGGAAAGTGAATGGAAAATCCTTCAACAAAAGTTGGTCAAGGGAAAATACGAGTTTAACAGAACAAAACAAAAATAATTATAAATAAATATGTAAGCAAATGTATTGGTAAGATTGTTTTAGCTAAGAGAAGATGAAGGGGAATTTTATGCAAAACGTATGGTGAATATTTTGTGGAATATACAGTGCGTAACGAAAGTATATGAACTTCCATAGACATGTCTCAATATTACGGAAAATAGCTTTCTGGACCGAAAATGGTATTGTTGGTATAAACTTACAAATAAAGTACCAATTAAATTCAATATTTTTCAACTCGCTATACTTTCGTTAAGTACTGTATAACTGTCACTCGAATTCAACAAAAACAACCAAAATGTCTTCTTTAATTAGATGATTTGTCTATAAACTTCGTTGTTCGTTGAGCATGCATTAACAATGTAAAATTGTAATTAGATAAAGGTAAAGAATGCTACCGATAAGAAATCACATAAAAACAACCAAAAAGCACCTAATTTTAAATTAAACAAAAAAAATTAAGAACAGAGAGAAAAACTAATCAAAGTTAGGAATTACAACTTGGTGACTGTTGGAAAAGTCTTAAAACTAACAAAAACATATCGTACATTTATATGAATTGCCAAAGTCTTAATGGGTATTAACTAAAACGCGTGCGTGCTTCTGTGTGTGTTTGATCCTTTTTGAAAAAAAAAAAACTAATAACATTCCGGGTTCGACTTAGCCATCATCCAGAGGAAATGTAAACCGTTTAGTTAGCCAAATGTTAAAAACAATAGCAAGAGTCAAAGGAGCATGAGAAATGAACACAAATTTAAACAATAGCAAAATGATTGTGATGAAGCCTTAAAACATAGTTGAACTCAATTCATATGTGAAATTAAGTGAAATGAAACGAAATCAAATGAAATGAAATGTATTGGATTTTATTGTGTAAATATAAAGGCGATTTGTCCATGGATTCCATAGTTTTTTGCCCTTTGATGTCCATAAATTCTGTGTGTAAATATGATTATGAGCTAACTAAATTAGAGTTAAGACGTCAGCAGCAGCAAAACAAAATCATGGAACGAAACAAAACAAAAGCCAGAGCCAATTTTAATTATAAGCGAAAACCTAGAAAAAAAAATATATAAATTACACATTTAAATACCGATGAGCGAACATTCAAATCGAAATTGAGTACAATTGCGGGGGCCTGAATTGGTGAATGTGCGTGCGAATGGGAATTAAAATATAGAATTAAATATAGTATACATTAAACACACATATACAAAATCTGCATTGTTGTCAACTGTAACTGATTTTTAAATCTTATTTAATATCGATGCCATTAATAGCAATTAACAAGAAAACTACTAAGCATAAAAAAGATGAAAACAATGCAAAAGTACTAAAAAAAACTATAAATTGCATTAACGTTAATTCGAAAAATACAAAAATAAATGTGTGGTAATTGTAAGTGTAAATTATTTGTGTATTTAAATAACAACTTTTAGATGTATTAAAAGGCAAGAACATAAAAAGCAAAATGCATTCAACTCTATACGATAAACTCTATGTGAAACCGTAAACAATTCAACCTTTAAGCTGCCATGTAAGCAAATAGGAATTATTTACAACTCAACTCAAATCAAATGCCATAAAGTAACTTCAACTGAATTTAAATGCCAGACAAAGGGCAGACGTCTATGTAAATATCTTTAAGCCTCATTCAACGTGCGAAAATTACTCGCAGGCGATCAAAAACTGAACGAAGAATTGTGCAGTAAACGAGTGGAAATTCATTAATAAAACATATTTGTTTCAAAATCACAGATTTTCTGCGTTTTCAATGGCCTTAAATTCTCTATAATTTCAGAATGTACTACCTTAAAAGTCCATTTCTCTCGGAATTTGTCTTAGTATGTATGTCCTCCACATTCAGCCAGCTTCAATTACTTTGCACACCCAGGACCAGTTACCCTATCCAATTGCAGGAGGATTCTTTCAGTATTCCTTTTATTTTGGTTGATGCAACACAAAGAAAATTGGGTAATTTTAAGAAAATATTTCAAATACGTGAAAATGTTCTCGCTGAACGTGACAACAACCTCCAACGACAAATAAAAAAGTAATTGAGACCGGAAAAGGGAACCGGGAACAAAACATTTAGCAGTAAAATAAGAGCAGTTACCAAAATAATAGAAATGCCAAAAAATAGACAGGGTACGGAATGCGACTAGAGATACATATATATTTGTGCATGGCCTAAAACAAGGTGTTAATTTGAGGAGAGTGAAAATTTATTCGATAAGGTAAACAAGTTGGGCAAGTGCTTTTAAAAAGATAACTTTTCAGGCCATTGCCATCTTACCACTCTGGATTTTCATTTTCCATGTTTTCCCTTTCTTCAATCATTCATAAATTCTTCCTTAATTCATGCATTTTAATATTTTTCTTATTACTATTATTAAAATGATGTATAAAAAGAAAAGGAAGATGTTCTCTTAAATTTTGGTAACCTAGAATTCAAACCACATTTTCATAAAAAGCCACCAACCCAAGAAAATAAGCAAGAGCAACACGAACCTTCGTTCACAATAAATAGAAAATATCTGCGGACTTATCCGTAAGTCGCACCTTAGCTTTTCCTCGCCGGACTTCACTAATAAGCTGCCAACGAAATAAGAACATTTGATAAATACCGAGGACAAAGCCAAACAAATTATAAGTGTTGGGGATGTAAGATGCAGGATAAAAGGACTGAGCAGATTTATTAGCCAGCCGACAAATGGCCGCAAATGGGCCCACCTGGTATATTTGCCATCAAACGTCACATAAATCAGATTTGTCATCTAATGAAAACAGCGGAAAGATTTTCCTGGAAATGCTAATACACCCAAGCTAATGCCCTATTTTGGTATTTTGGTATTTTGGTAGCCATCATTCCAGCTCCAGCTAATCTGTAGTTCTTGATGTCATCGCCAGGTATTTGGAAGATACTTTCGGCATATTAAGGCCAATTGTCTGGGGCTTAAAAGTTTCATGTTTGATTTCGCACAGATAAGAAGGCATCAATTTGCGGCACAGGTAAACTTTTCGATTGCCTCCTCTCACCTGTCGCCCCCCACACACACAATGATAAGTTAAGCTGCTCATTAAAATGGGGGGCGGTGAGTTACTCAAGTGGGCGAGGAAAGCTGTTAAAAACTGATGCCGATATGGCCCAAAGCGTAATTGGGCTCGCTCAATTGGAAGGAATATGCCATTTGGGTGTGAGCTTGAGAGACATTTGGCTGGGCAAAGGACTTTGCTCGACGGATTTCGGACTTTGAGTGGACTTACGTGGTAATCAATTTGGAAAAACGAATGAAAACTAAAGATACAAATTTGAAACGCTTTGTTTTTAATTGTTTCTCTTTTTTGAGCTGGTGCTCAAAAGACTTTTAAATCCACCCAATCCAATCAGTGCAAAAATTCCTTAAATCATCTTCTATCCTACCCTAGATCCCCAAATGGTTTATCCATTACCCTATCGACTTGAATTGTCAGCGGCAGACAGACAGGATGATTGCACCTTGCAGCTCAAGGAAAATGAGGGAAAATGGGGGACCACAATCATCACACAATGTCATGTCGCCGGCTGCCATTATTTGTTGCCATTCGGAGTTGTCGTCTTGTAGTGTTGTTAGCATTTGCAGCTTTTGAAATGATTTGCAATAAAAGTGTCTGCCACTGTCCATTGGCCACGCCCCATTGCCAGATTACGTGCCACTTCAACAGCTGTCCATTGGTGTTGCTGTCCCTGGTTTTGTTGTCCTTGGTATTTGCGTTGCTCGTGCAGCTTATCTGGCTCTCTGGCATGGACTGGCATCGGCATTGTCCTTGCCACTGTTGCGTAATTGTCCTTTGTTTACTCTGCTCTCATCTCTTGCGTTGCCCCACACACCTTGCCGCTTGGCCTCTACGCAAAGTTCAGGTGCGCCGGGGCAGTAAAGTATGGCCAGGAATTTTGAAAGTTAACACTCATGCGTTGTGGTTTTCTACTGACACCAACAGGTTTGCTAAAAACTTAAGACCTATTTTAAATATAAATACAAAATGATATCTGCGTAAGCTCTGTACACAATAGATATGCCTTTTGTCATTTGGTAGCTCACAGTTTGTATCGGAAAAGTTTCACGATAGAAGAAACACAAAAAGCCATAGACGGAAGGGCATTGGGTACAATCATATTTCTTGCATTGCCATAAAAATGCGTGGCAACGAACAAATTACTCATAAAAATAAATAAAAAATTGCTGCCTTCCCGTCGGTTGCTGTTTTGGCCAGTCGTTGGCTGCCTGCAATTTCTGGCACATCATTCGGGATTGCCGGGGCCGTAAATTATATAGATTCTGGCCGGCATTTCTACACTTCTGGCATACAGGCGGCAGTAGACCTTAGATGTTCCCCGGTCCGTGCCATTAAAAGCCGTTTTGTCCGGGGAAATGGAAATGATTTCGTGTCATAGCAGTTACGTGTTGGTGAAAATTCCGACACATTCAGGAAACGGCACAAAAGTATTGATATTTCTGCATCGCATTACGTCTTTTAAACGGGCAACGTTTTTCAGTCACTTAAATAATTCATTGTAAACTGCATTATCAACTGTTCGAATTTGTTTTGAAGACTTTAATACCTCTTCTCTAACTCCTCCAAAAAATCAAGCATATGTACCTTAAGAATAGGCCGCCCATAAAATCAGGTCCTCCAATTTACATTTTATCGACTTGGCACTTCCTTGGCTCATTATGTTGGCCATTTTTATTGGCTTGCAAAGATTTGCAGCTCGGACCCAACTCTCAAAATCGAACCTTAAAACAGAAGCCCGCACATGCGCTGATTTAATCAGGAAATACATCTCGTTACCTGGAATTTTATGGCCAACAGGAAAAGAGGCGGGGCAATGTGTTTTGGCAATTTTCATATATCTAAACAAAGGAAAAGTTCCCCGTCTCTGCTTATCTAACCGCAAATGGCTGATGCCATCCTAAGACTCTGTCGATATTTGATTTTTTACGACCTCAACCCACCCTGAATCCTTTCTTTGCGATTTACTCTCGCTTAAAATAACAATTTCAAATTGGTTTTACTGCCTCGAGGTTGGATTTTCTTCTCTCGTCTTGTGTTTATGTCGCCTCGCATTTTGATCGCTTTGCATAAGCGCCTTTCAGCAATTTGCTTTGCCTCTGACCATTTGCTATATGCGGCTTAAAGGGGCGTGCCCCGCCCACCCCTTTAACCTCACTCAAAAGTCAAGTGCATTAGATCCGGAAAAGCTGCACTCGCAGGGTTGAAAGCAGGACACTCTATTTTCGGAGGGCTGAGGGCTGGAAAAGCTAACTTTTATGCACCAGACAATAATTGAAAATGCTCTCCCTGCTGGCCGAGTTTGTTGGCCAAACTTTGTGTGCTGGCATTAAATTTATGTTAATTGAAATTTATGTGCGCTGGCCACAGCTCAAGCTCAAACAAATAAAATTCGAAAAAAAGAACCAGTGCAATGGAAAATGGCAAACTTTTCCTGACATTGCCAGCCAGCCTGGCCAGTTCGCATCGCATCGAAAGGCCAAAATATAAATTAAACCCACCATTCTCTCCGTTTAAACAAAACATTATTTGATTGTCATTCGTAGTGAAATATAAATCACATTCAAATTGAATTACTCTATTTTAGCCAAAGGCAATTTGTGGCAAATACAATTGTGTGCTGTAACAATTTAATTTGACATTTTTTCATTTGTGTCTGTGTACAGAATTGAATGTTTTGAAATTCTTATAATTTATAACACTTATTAAAATAGTTTTCCATTTCAATTATTTATAAGCAAGCATTTACATTTCTCAGTAGTACACTTCAGTCGTAAAGAATATCCTGTCCATTTGCTATTTCATACTGAACGCAGCTAATTGAATTAACCACTGTACAGAAGAAGAAGTCCATGGCGAAAGAACATCCACACACCTGATTAACACTCATAATCTGATTTCTAATGGGTTGTGCCCTTAGCTGGAGATCGAAACAGGTTTGCTGCAATAGTCGGCTGTAGATTATTAGGAAGACCCTTCTACACATAGTTACCAGTTTTTGGAGCTCCCTGGTAAAGTTCACATCCAGCTCTTTCATTTTCGGATGTTTAAGGTCGATTATCAGAAGCTGCAAATTGAGAGATTCCTGCATTTGGACCAATCGGTCATTGAAAAGACCAATGAGTAGCATCCTCAACAAGGGGGCGATTCCACCGCCCAGATGCTTCCAGAAATATATGCCCCATTTATTAATCATTATCCGACGGTTGTGAAAAACGATGCATCTGATAAGGTAAGACCAACTTCCCACCAGCTCTACAATGTTCGAGAAAAGCATGCTTGCCACTGGAAGCCATAGTAATTTGATATCCTGGTGGACATTGCTGATTTTGGCATATATCCGCATTAGCCGAAGGAGCTTCTTGCGTTGCTTTCTGCTTGGCTGCTGCTCCTGCTGGTAGTCCTGCCATCATAATGGTCAGAAACAAGACAATCTGCTTTAGTTGATTTACTCATGCTGGCATATCTATGAAAATTGCTAAAATTAAAAAACTGTAAAAAAAAAACTGTAAAATTAAAAAGAAAAAAAAGATAGAATGTTATAGTCGAGTTCCTCGACTATCAGATACCCGTTACTCAGCTAGTGGAAGTGCAAGCGAGAAATTTAAACATTTTCTGGAATATCGGTAGCAATTGGAAAAAAAATGATAAAATGAAAAAAATCTTTAAAATTGTTTAAAAGTGTGGGCGTTGCAGAAACATTTAGAGGTATGTCACTTTGAAGATAAGTTGAGTTATTGAGTATAAAACTTCAGCCTTGGGACATTTTTTAATTTTTTTGAATTTTAGTTTTCATAACATCACAAAAATTACAAAAAAATTAAAAAAAATTGATTTCTAAATTTAAATGCAGATTCTTAGAGAATTGCGCCAGAAACATTTAGATTAAGATCCAATTAAGATAAGTTGAGATCCGATAAAACTTCAGCCTTGGGACATTTTTAATTTTTTTTTTGAATTTCTGCAACATCATCATATCAAAAAAGATAGAATTATATAGTCGAGTTCCCCGAATGACAGATACCGGTTATTCAGCTAGTGGAAGTGCAAACGAGAAATTTAAAAATATTCTGAAATATCGTTGAGAAAAAATTGCAAAAAAAATAAAAAAACTTTTTAAAAGTGTGGGCATAAAAGTTTTGGACTTTTTGTGGGCGTTAGAGTTGGCGTGGCAAAATTTAGGGCAATTTTTTAGAAATTTACAAGATATACATACATATAAAGAAGTGAAAAAATATCATTTTGTAGTTCCTGAGATCGATGCGAACATACGGACAGACGGACGGACAGACGGACATGGCCAGATCGACTCGGCTATTTATCCTAATTAAGAATATATATACTTTATAGCGTCTGAAACGCTTCCATCTACATGTTACATTCTTTTTCAACAAAACCAGTACCCTTTTACCAAAGGCATTAGAATATTCGACAGTCATTGTCTTTACATTACGAGTAAAACATGGCCAGATCGGCACGGCTAGTGATCCTCTGAAAGAATATACAAGTATGTGGGATTTGAACTAGGCGGGCTTTCTTCGCAGTAAACACGACGTGCATTATGCAACCCATACTCAGATTGTCTTTTAAAATGGCAAGAAAAGTACTCCATACTTGGTAGACCGCCGATTGAAAAGAACTTTGTAAGCCCGATTACCTAATAATATATTGCATGCGAACATCGGAAACGATTCCTTGTACATGTAACGTACTTTACAACAAATGTAGTATACCCTTTATTTGTTCTATGAGTTACGGCTAAAAAAATGTTAATACTAGTGTTTGGTTCTTACCTTCAGAAATTGAATAATTGCAGCGATCCAAGAGAGCAGCAGCACTTGGTAAGCCACATAGGCATTGCAAACTAACTCCAAAAACAGGGTATACAGTATCGGTATTATATAAGGAAAATTAATATTCTTCAGCAGAATAAATTGCAAATGCAATATATAAATGATCAACAACGAGATTCCTTCCAAGGAAAGAGGACCCAGAATTGATTTCAAATCAGCGTTTATCCGGATTACGTCATTCGCGCGATTCACAAAGGAGCGATTCCAGGATGGGCTATTCAGCCAGGAATAAAGACGAGCGGTGTTCCAAAGCGTTATTTGCATTTTAATTGACTCCATGATGATTTCAAAAAGTCTTTCTGGACTTTTCACAAAAATTGGAACAATCGCCAAAAGTAAATATGATGCGAAGGAATAATCATGGACCAGTAGGCATATCTTAAGGATCAGAGCAACTCGCTTTGTCCAATTATTCCGAGGGTGTATAATCATCTTCCCTTTTCTCGGATCGAACTTTATTTTCCCAACCACCAAGCCGCGATAAATGATATATGATGTCCAGCAAATAAAGGAAACTGACCATCGTAAAATTCGCGATAGCCACTTATTACGGGAATTTCTCAAGGGGTTTCCATGACCCTTCTTTGGCATTATGGAACCACTGAATGAGTCCCATGTGCCCGGTGGATTCATAATGGCTAGAAGAGTGAGAACTGGGAGTGATGACCGGCAATTACCCAAAATCGCTTTGCTTATTTCACCAATCAACCAACAAACACTAGTTGAATACATAATCAATTAATGTTTTTTTCTAAGCCGGAAACGACTCCATTCTTTGTTTTCCACGAAGTTTGTATTTAGGCAGACAAAAATAAGGTATTAACAACATTGATTAACATTGCCATTCCTTTAATGCATCAATATTCTTAAAAATGTTCCATATCATACTGAATTAAAAATATTGAATGCGTGATCAGGTTTCCGATCATGGCCAGTGTACTTCTGCGGGTCACGTCATACAACTCAACAACCTTTATTTCTAAGGGATTTCGTATCAGCTGCAGGTTAAGGTTCTCAAACTGGTGGTAAGAAATCAATGTTTCGAAAATACAAATATATAATAGAACATACATATACTTACGGCTTCATCGAGGCGCACATCCAAACCAACAAATAGTGTCCGCTCCCCGAGTATTTGCATCATTTCCCGGTAGTCATCTTGGACGTGAAGCATGCCATATAAATTGAGCAAGCCATCAAGATAGTAAAAAAAGCACCAACAGAACACCAGGATAACAGTACTCAGTGTCATGTTCATATTCTCATAGCCATGTTTGAGGATGCTATAGGCCAAGTAACTGGTGCCCACCGACGACAAGTAGTAGCCCCCATAGATCATGGCCGCCCGAATGGCGAATACTTTTTCCAATTGGTTCACAATCGTCTGCAGTTCGTCCTGGATTCTTGCTATATCCTCTAGCTGATCCGCCAAGGAACAACACCTGGTCATGAAGACTCCCTGATGCCGGCGGTTCAACTGTACCTCCTTGGTCTCCTCCATCACCTGACGCAGTTCGCTGTTAAGTAGCTGAAATTGTGTCCGAACGAAGAGCATTATCATGTATTGCTGCACCATAGCCATGTTGAGAATGACGGATATCCAGTACTGCAAGCCCAGTCCCAGGAAGAATTGCGGCTCTACCCGACCCATGGTATTCAAGATGATGGCCATTTGGAGGCCATCCGTCACAGACCCAGAAATAAACTTGATGAGAATGCCCCAGCGAGACATTCGCTTCACCTGCGGCCTGGCCATATACATTCGGACCACTTTTGCGGTCAGGTCCATCATCTTGCAGCGCTGGTACCATCTGTGAATCAGAGTGAAAAGACCTGCAAATACAACGGAAATTGAGCACTTAAATTATTCAACGGCTGTTTGATTCAAATTTTTGCTACCAGTAGTAATTCTCAGTCCGGTCATTATGACGACAATGTATTCGTGCAGCAGGTTTGCCTTGCCAAAAATCGCATCAACAATGTTTGCGTTTCCGGTCCAGTAATAAATATATAAGACTGAAATACAGGAATCCGTCCCAATTGCGTACAAAGTACTCCTTTTTGATGTAAATACACGCCCTGTGTTCCAGTCAAACTCAAAGTTACTGAGACCGATGAACAGTCCATAGTAGTACACCGCTCCCAACAAAAAACTTTCCAAGTCCATTATTTTTATGAACTGAAAGTGTCTTCCACGTGGCTTGCCCTGGAGTGGAATTAACTTAACTCCAAGCGTACTATACTAATTTCGAAAGAGATCTGCTGATAAGATTGGACAAAGGTTGAACCAAACCGAGTAATTATATGATAAAGTTAGATAATATGGAATCATTATTTATATTTGCAAACGGGCACGATATTTTTGTACTAAGCGCTGAATCGTGAAGTTAATTCAAGAATAAAACCCAATGTCAAAAGAATTCCATGTCAAATTGTATTAGAAAAATCGAATTCACTATAATAGAACCGCACATAGCCGCAATTGAGCCTCGCGTGATAGGGAACAAGCCCATTATATTGATTTTTAACGGGTTTCGAACTAGCTGCAACTGCAGACTTTCAAACTGAAAAAGGGGAAAGTGTACTCTCAGGAAATTGATGACATTAGATTATAGCTCACGGATTCCTCCAGGCGAACGTCCAAGTTAGAAGCAAACAGCGTTCGTTCCTCTAATAGAACCAAAAACTCCTTGTGATGGTCCAACACATAGAGCACATTTTTGGAATTGATCACGGCATCAAGGTAAAATAGGGTAATCCAAATGCAGGCGATGATGGAGGTCTTGGCAGATATTTTCAGATTATGGTGCCCATACTTATATATGCTATACGACATATAAGATGTGCCCACAATGGACATGTAGTATTCAGTCCTTGCAGGCCGAATACCTCTCCCAGTTGGCCCAACATGGACTGTAGTTGGCTCTGGACTTGCCCTATATCTGCCAACTGATCAGATAGATAGCAGCACCTCGTCATGAATGCTCCATTCCGCTGCTGCAGGAAGCTCAACCTCCTGCTTTCCTCGATCACCTTTCGCAGCTTTGCGTTTACAATCCGATATTGTGCCCGAATGAAAAGCATTACTAAAAAGTGCTGTGATATGGCCAAATTCATGATGAACGAAACGCACATTTTTACAGCCAAGTCCATGGTTTCTGCGGTTCCCTGGTGGTCCAATACATTCACGGAGAGTGCCACTTGAAAGAGATCCATTGCCAAGCTAATGAAGACTTTCAGTAGAATTCCCCAGCGAGTCAAATTCTTCGACTGCGGATTGATCAGATATAGACGGATGACGTCCTTCACCAGGTGCATCATTTGGTCACGCTGCAGCCATCTATTAAGCAAGGTAATTAGCCCTAAGAAATATATAATCAGCCTGAAGAATAGACATTTTCTATCATTTTACCCGCCGCGATCTTCAGGCCGGACATTATGATGATAACATATTCATGCAACTTATTTGCGCTTTGAAAGACTACACTGGTATTGCTATGAGCGGTAAAAGAATAAATAGTTGACATCGAAAAAAGGATGTTCACCATAAGGGCGTAAATAGTACATCGCCACGTTGTAAATACGCGTCCTGTTCTGCAGTCGTACTCAAAGTTACTTAACCCTATCAAGTAGCAGTAAGTTTGGACTGCCCTCAGCAACAAACCGACCCCATCGACCATTTCGAAAAACTGAATTGAATTGCTATTTGCCAGCAGGGTAATTAGCTTATGTCAATGACAACAATAATCTGATATCGAGCTCAGATTTTATTTCCGATTGACAAACAAGGCTTACACAAAAAAAAAAGTTAATTGTTCCATTGTATAACGTATAAAAAAAAAATATATTCCTTTATTTTGGTGGACTATATTTTCCATATATATAATATAATATATATATATAATATTTCAATTTATGTCGTATTGCAAGTCATTCCAATAGTTGAGATACATATTCCAATAGTTGAGATACACATTCAGCCAGGCGAATCAGATTCAGATGATTCGCTGGCGCCATGCCTTGCAAATTTCAGAAATTCCTTATCAAATCCTGTCAAATACTTCCATTAATTAAAAGAGGCCTCGATTTGGGTTTCACCAAGGCTAATTTCATTCAATGACTTTCACTTATCTAATGTATGTACCCAATGTATTTCACATTGTCTACATAAGTCTACCCAAAAGTGTGTTTAATTTAGTTTTTTTTTATTCCGGAAACACGTTTAGGTTTTTCCATTAGGTGATGGTATCTAAGAAGTGGAACGGATGAATGTTCACTGATATTCTATACTGCACACAGCCCAAGGCATTTAGCAGTGCGCAAAAGAAGAAGTCGAGCACAAACGAACATCCGCATTCCTGATTGGAGCTCATAATCTGATTCCTGATCGGCTGGGCCCACAGCTGGATATCAAAACAGGTTTGCTGCGGTGGAGAGAATATGTGAAGAGTGGAAGACGGATTTTTGCACACCCACCAGATTATTTACATCCCAGGCAAAGGACTGATCCAGCTGATCCTGCTCCTTTAAGCTTATGACCAGGAGTTGCAATCTAAGGAAGCACTGCTGTAGGGCCAATCGATCGTTGCACAGACCAATAAACAAAATACGTAAGAGGGAAGCCTGGGCGGCGATGACGGGTATTTCATATTTCCAATTACAAATGCCTCCTTCGGCAAAGTTATCGGATAGGAAGCAGGATATGACGAAAGCCCAATTGGTCACTAGCATTAAAATGTCGGAGAAAATAACACTTGCCAGCGGCAGCCACAGATGCTGGATGTTCTGGTGAATAATTCCAATCCTTGAATATAGATTAAACAGTTCAAGAAAATGAGCGCGCTGCTTTTTGGAGGGATTCCATTCCTGTGCGTATTTCTAAAAAGAATTAAAAGAAGGTATTTATCAACGGGATATAGAGTCATAATGAAAGATGACAGGACATATTTGTTTATACAGGAGTTTTTGTAGTATGTTGGTTATAGAAACAGGATTTTTCATCCATCTGATCTTTTTCATATCTATATCTATTTCTATATCTATCTTCATCTATCTTTCGAGCTGAAGTGCTGTACTACCTTTAAGAACCTATTGAAAGCAGCGATCCAGGACAGTAGGAGCAACTCGTAGACCACATAGGTGTTGAAATAAAGCTCCAGCATTAAATTGTAAAGCGAGAAGATGTGTAGTTCAATTTGACTATATCCAACCATCTGCAGCAGAGTCAGGTCCAACTGAACTATGTACAGGATCAGCAAGGAGGTACCTTCCAGGTAAAGCGGTGCCACAGTGGCATCTATCTGTGTTGTTACGCGGATCACGTTGTTTACCAGCTGAACAAATTGTCGATTCCAGGACACACTACTCATCCAGTAACACAGCCGAACAACATTCCAAATTGTGAGTTGCATAATGACAGCGGACATCAGTACATCGAAGAACCTTGGGGAAGTGAAAAGTAAACCTCTACTTCCTATTGGAATGAATGGGGCAATGGCAAGCACTAAATATGGGATGCCAAACTGGTTAAGTACGAGTAAAATAATCTTTAGGCATAGAGCAAGTCTCTTGGTCCAGATGTTGCGCGGCTGAATAATCATTTTCCGTATTTTCGAATCGTATTTAATTTGGCCAACCACGAAACCACGATAAATAATATATGAGGTCCATGATATGCTGAGAACAGACCATTTCAGCAGTCGCGATTGCCATTTCTTATTGGAAGTCCGTAGTTTTTGCTCGACCATCATCTACTAGTTCTCTTTTTGTTTGGTAACACTTACTTCCCCATAGCTAATGGACTAGCATTAATGCCAAGTAATTTACGCTAACTGTTGTTCGACCTTTAATGAAAAAAATAGTAATAATAGTTATCAACATAAAGTTCCATATTGGTAGAATGCCTTCACTAACATTTCACTACTTTGAAAGCGTACTTGATTGGTAATTAATTGTGTCAATGGCAGAAGATGCCATGCAGATGTATCTGATGACGCAGATGTATCTGATAGATTGAGTTTTGAAGTGTTCCAAGCAAGCCATTTAAAGTAAATAAAAATAAGTTGCATTATCAGTGTTTTTTTAGCATATCAAGCCCACCAAAACAGCACCCCCAGTCATTTTACCTTTGGCGTCATAAATAAAAAGTAGCGGCAATTAGGCCTCACACCTACATATGCACACTCACCCAATGAATCATGGTATTGGAGGGCAGAAAGGGTTAGCGAGGGGCGTTAATGCAGTTCGAGTTGCGTTTCCCTTAGTTATTCATGGTCAATAAGCGCGGGTCATGAGGGAGTTAAGCACCAAACACTAGTTGAAATGGTAATTACATTAGACAGTGTGTTTATGCTGCATTTTCACGCGGTTTTCGACTAAATTTGTTTAAGAGAGGTGGTGTCATGCGGTCCATTGTTAATTTATGCGTTCAGTTCGACCCCCAATTATTGCGAATTATCCATTCGGTCGTAATTTAGTTGATCATTTTAATCTTATTTAGAATCAAATTTGAAAATTCAGCTTTCGATTCTGAAAAGCAATAATTTTGTGTTTGTTATAATGCCTATACTGTAAAATGATATTATTGCAATATTAACACATTTTTTTTACATACAGGGTACTTAGTAACATACCTACATGTAGTAATCAGCGGCCAAATTATTTTATAATTTAAGGCGCACTTGTATGAAAATAATACTCTCCCCCAATTGCAGCTGCCATATAAGCATGTGCGTGGCACTTTTATCAAATTTACGCTTATTGCATTTTAATTAATTATAAACAGGTAATTATGGTAAACAGACTGGGCCACCGCCGACCCATAAAACCGGGCTTACAAACATTACCAATTTACGAGCCAAGTGCTTGCCAGTTCCGCCAAAGGGCCGTCCTGGGACGGACAAATCGTATATAAAATTAATTTAAAACACGCCACAAGCCGTTAACAAATTCCCCTCTGCAATGCCATGGCCATGGGTTACTGCAATTTAGTGCCTGTAGTTGCTAAATGCCTAAATGTCTCACCCAAAAATGCACATATTATATTATTAGTCGTGCAACAGAGTTTTGTACATATTACAGGTGAAGGAAAGCTGGATCAAAGATCTTGAAATGGGCTGCGATGAAGGTAGTTAAAGATATTAAAGTCTATTTCAATATTTGAGGCGGATTATGTACAAAGGTAGATAAATATATTCAAAATTGCGTTCACAGGTCCTTGAATAAAACATCTAACCCATAACTCGAAACGAATTTAGAAACAGAAAAATAATTCCGAAGGGCGCACACTGCCATATTCGCCATTGGTCGTCTGGGAGTACTTGTATCCTTTCAAGTGGGCCATGGATTCGTTTGTGAACAGGTTTCCAGGACCTGTCGTCGTCCTGGACTTGAAAGTGTACTCCGAGCGAAGACGGTTTCTCCTGGCGTAGTATCCGTATATTTTATCTCCGTACATTTCCCTGCACTCGGCGTAAATGGACGCGTATCGGGAATATTGCTCCCTTTGCGCATCTGCAAACCAGGCGCTATTTTTTTGCCAGTTAATGCGAGTCTTATCAATCTGATTTGCCACAACGCGGCAGTGTTTCAGCTGATCCACAAATATCACCTCACCGTACTCCTTCATCTTGGATTGGGAAGAATCAACGCAGATATAAGAGGATTAACAAACCATACAAAATATACACTTTGAAGTTTTTAGTGAGTCTTTTTAGAGGAACATTTTATATTCTAGCTTATGGAAAATGGTAAAATACCAATCGAACAGGCACAAAAAGGCCTGCTTAGATTACAAAGTCTTGTATTCACAAAGTTTTCTTTATGAAGTCTGATTCCAGTCCTGAAAATGACATCTAAAATATACTAAAAACAAACAATCAACAGATTGTTTTAGTAAGTACATACATCCAAAGGGGAAATGCGATCCTCATTAATAAAAAAGACGCAGCTTTTTGCTTGCTTTTCTTGACTTAATTTATTTTTCATTTTCATGTTCAGTTTTACAAACTATCTGGTTTTTACTTTCTTTGTCGAACATTTGATTTTCCAATTCTTACAAATAAATGGTAAACTAAAGTATTAACAAAGTTCATTGATGAAGGTTAATGAAGGAAGGTTAGTTGTTGACTTAGCTAAATCCGACAAGGAATGTTTATTTTCCGCCTCTTCTGGGTTTGGTTTAGTTATGTTTTAATTTTGAATTTACAACACGCACAAGATTTGCTTAGATTTAGACGTAGATTAGCTTACAGAGTTGCCGAGGATTTATTTCGCTTAGATCCTAAGTAAATTTGAGTTCAAACGTCGCTGGCTATGTACAAGAAACATTCATTTTGGCTAAGTTGTAGGGGTCTACGCCCCTTGCCAGTCGATCAATGCCAAGCTGAGATGTCCGAGATAAATTTTCGGCCCAGACCAGCAGCTGCTTGCTGGCCATTTGTAGCCATCGCCCCGATGCCTTTGGCCCACAATCGAACGGCTTTGTATGCAAATGAGCCATTGGATTGCATTTCTCACGCCCAGGTGACTCCGGCAGACATGCGATGTACCTTTCCATATGGAAACCCCAGTCATCGCATGAGTCATGAACTGCTTTTGGCCTTTTGTTTGCTGCTTGGTTACTCTGTTTGGACTTGAATGCATTCGATTGCGGTTCGTTGCGCGTTTTCGCATTTTGCATGTCTCAGACAATTTCCACCTTTTTTGTTTCGCCATAAACTGCTCGGTATCGGACTTTGGGGCACTCTGACTCAGTTTGAGCCACATTAGCATAAGGCAAAGGATTTGTATCATGCATAAGGCAAGGATTTGTATCATGCATGTGGCTAATTTCTCAAGGGGGAATTTAATGTTACTCATTGGAAAGAATGACTGCCTCAATTGGTTTTTTCCAAACTTTTTTTCTCAAACTATTAAAATTGTCATACACGAATATTTTCTTTTTATGAATAGCTCATACGAATTTACATTTAAAAATGGTTTGAAGTGGCTGGTACAACTAATGGATTTGACCTTCTTTAAAAGTGAACAAAAGCTCCTTGAAATTTAAGTTTGAATCAATTCGCATTACAATTGAATATGTTTAAGTAAACGATGCCAGTTTATGGTAATTTGCCTATAATCTTTTCATTCTCTTTTCATTTTCTTTATAAGGTCAATACACCTTACCTCAATGTGGTTTGGTGTATGTTTATTTATACTAGTTCTATCTTACTATTTTGCAAACTTTACAATTTAATCGTTTAGATTTAAGATTTAGAAAGCCATTGAAGGAGTTGCATTGGCCGAACACTTCCGTAATCCCCATTTGAAGTTGGTGACACCCTGAATTCCTTTAAGTGGTCCATGGGTCTATGAGACCTTCTTCTTTCCCGACGTCTATATGATTTGGTATTAACTCTGTGTTCTTCCCTCAAACGATTTCTGTTTGCATAGAACTCGAAGTGATCGTTGCCGTACTGCTCGAAACTCTCCTTGTAAATTTCAGAACACCTTGCTTCCAAATTCCTTTGGGCAGCCGGAAACCAGGAGCACCGCTCCTCCCAATGGCGCCGTGTCTCCTTGATTCGGCTGCCCACAGATCTGTGGTGCAACAGCTCAGCTGTGAATATCACCTGGTCATATACCTTCATTACAGTTTTTAACGAACTAACAGAACAGTGTGTGAAACTATTACAGCTCTCAGAAATGATTGAAAACAACCAGGCTTAGTTTCCTTTGCAAGAACATTTTCATAGGTAATGAGAATTTTGAAATGGCCTTTCGACATTTCTCAGCTCGGCACTGATTAAACCGATTACATTTAGTTACATACACGCTTATATCAGGACTACTGCCAAATTTGAAAGTTTTTAACTTGTGCAATCCTTGGCTTTTTGTCTGGCTATTTACAGCTTTCTGATGAAAATACTTATCCATAATCTTTCTCTTTGAGGAATTTTTGGAATGCAAATGCAAGTTTTCCTTAGTCTTAGCTTAATTACTTTCTGGCTGATATTACTTGGTTTTCATGGTTTCCATTAGTTTAATTCTATAAAGTTTAGACTTTTTGCTTTACAATTTTCTTACACTTGCTTTAAATCTTAAGTTAATGAAAAATTGTGTTAGGTTAAATTGTCTTGGTATGTAGATCAAAGTGCGAATATGTTTTTTACAATCGAAATGTATTGTTGCTTTTGATATGCCCAAAATGGATGATAAATTGAAAGGATTTTCAAAATGAAATCAAATATGTCGAATGCAATTAATTTTCTACACGGATTTACTTCCTATCGCTCTCAAAATGAAGAAAATATCACATAAGATCAACGAATGATTTGCCTAAACAACAATTTCTTAGAGCTACATACAATTGCCTAATACTAAGAATATTTATTTACAGTTTCTTAGCCTCTGTTTAAATGCTCGCGTTAAGTAGTTACCATTTCGATATTCTAGTGGAATATCTGGCTCTTAATTAGGTAATATATATCCTCTTTTTTCATGCACACATACATCGATTGAATTTTGAATTAAACCAAAGGTATAAATAAATCCCTTGGTTTCTGTCTTAAAGTTTTTGGCGTAGGATATGTCTGCTTTTACGAACGGCTCTGCTAGTCAATGGGCTTCAGTTATTGCGATCCTTATTCTTAAAAGAGTTAACTATTTCTGGGCCAGTTCCCATTTTGAAACAGCAGCAGCAGGATAACAGGTGGCAGTACTACAATCAGGCTTGAGGGCAGTGTTGCACAGCCGGCAGCTGAAAATACAAAGTATTAGTTTCTTGTTCCTTGAAATAAGACGAATATTTAAAATTGGGGATATACCAATCGTGCTCGACTTGGCTGCCACCGTCTCCCGCGATTCCAATGCCGGGGCTCGCTGCTGGCTTTCGCCTTCCACACTCTCCTCATTGCTCTGCAGATACAAGGAGCTGATCTTGGCCACGCACTACGGGAAAACGAAGTACGATCAATGGAAGACACTCATCCAAACTGTACTACAACTCACCTTCAGCTTCATGTCGCCGTGCTTGAAGTGGAAGGGCCGCACCTTGAACTCCAGGCCCAAGCGAGCCATCTCCAACCCATCTCGATTCACCACCACCTTGTCGTACTGCCGCAGGTGCGACTTCTGCACCGGTTCCCCATTAATAAGCCAGCTCAGGTGGCAGACGGGCTTGGACGGCGACGAGGTGCAGTTCACCCGGACGGTGTCTCCGATTTGGTAGCGCGGCTGGCCACCTGTTATTTTCGGTCCGTGGTTGGGAGTCACTGGAATGGCAGGAGTTAGTCACTACTTGCTGCACAAATATAGTTTTATTTGTAATCTAAAATTTCCCTCTTAGTGTATCAATGTATAATTGGTCGTTTAATGCTTCAACAGTTATGCACTACTCAAAAATGTTCAGTGTGATGGTTTCATTCATTTTAGTTACCAGACTATATTAACATATATTTATATAATCAAACTATTTCTTTCGAAGTTCTTCTGCAACTGTGCCTAAAATTGTGCTTGGCCGAGAATTCATAACGTAATTTCTATTAAGTTCTCTTAACTCACATAGCTTTACCTTGAACTTCCCTGGGCATCCCCCATTTGTAGTTCCGCTTGAGTTCAGTTATTCAATTTTAATGAGCCGGGGAAATTGAATAAATCTTAGACGAACTAGCTGCCCATTTCCGTCCACATTTTCCCACCCTTCCGGCTGTTTTATTATTTTATATGCAGCTTCGCTTATTTGCCCCACTGCCCCAAAAGTAGAATCAGGCAGTATGGAGGGGAGTGTACTTGCCCCGTGGAGGCTGGCAAGGCATTTCCAAGATTTATGTGCAGATTTTCGCCAGGGAAAGGAGATGCTGCCCATAACACAGCTGAATAAGAGAAAGAACTTTCGTTTTGGGCATACGAAATGCTTATTCAAAGTTTATTTGGCCATGTGTGTGCAAGTGTGTCCAGCAATTTTCTTATGTATGGGGGATATTCTTCCGACCGTGGAAGTATGTTTGTGGGTGGAAGTATTTGGAGGGTCGATGGTTTTGGAGCAACACCTATTAGGAATTTTTTCGACATATTTCCCAGGCATACCAAAAATACAAAAAAATCATTTCCACAATTAAGGCAGAAAGAATTAAGGTTTATAAAAACTGCTGTACGCCATCCTTACAGACGTTCATATAATTCCACAAGTCAAAAGCAATTTGTAAAATTAAATCTAAATCTTCCTGAATACTTATAGGTTTGTACGAAACTATTACATCAACCATATCCATTGTCTTTCACAACTCACTCCGTCTGTTTCATCCTTTTCCACATAACGTGTACAGAAATAAAAACCAAGTCAAGTGGGAACAGGACTAGAATCAGGGCTCCTCCTTAGGCCATGCCCATGTCCCCTATTTCTGCAAACCTGCTCCTCATCCAACACGAGTGTTTTCTGTATGCATTAAAAATATTCATTTCACCAAAATCCAGATAAATTGGAAGGGGGATTTTCTTCCTCATAACACATTGCGGCTTCAGTATGTGTGTATGTAAGTGATAATAGAAAATTAATTTTTAATGGTTTAAAAAAACATAAGTCTGCACTTGCTTAAAAGATAAATTGTCTAATTGATACGCTTTAATGGCCAATTCAGAGATAAATCAATTAAATACTTGGAGTAGTTCTTACTCTCAACGAGATTACATTATTTTTCTTAGTGTAAGCGTCCTGGTCAGGTTGGCCTTTTTCGGGATTGCATTTCCCTCTCCCGTTTGCTTATTTGTAATTTATAAAGTGAAGTTTACTTTTCTTTGGCCCTTCTCTCTCCCTTGTAAACTTAATTTTCTCCAAGCAACTGACTTTCTGGCGGAGGAGGGGGTAAAAGTTGGTAGGGGGAGGATGGAAAAGACCTATAACGGTCGGCTTTGGTGCAATCTGGAAATCCAGCTTGGAGAAATGCATTTTTGATAAACGCATTTGGACAGATTGAAAATATTATTTCATGGTTCCCCTTTGTTGCCATTCCAAATTTCATTCTGTCATAAAGACCAGCTGCAACTAGCAAAAAACCATTACTCCTATATTTATTTAATGTTTTACATATATGTCACAGAAATAAAGAATCACTTTTTTATAGTTTGTACAAAACAGAGAAATAATCATTTGAGTTTAAACACAAGAATTTGCCGGCCAGCCCAACACAGCCTTGAATTCTTCAATTTATTTTGCCTTGCCAAAAAAGAAAATCCGAACTTAAATTAATTGATGACTGAATAAATTCAACGTTATCTTGGCCAGATATTTATTACCCCCAAATATATTTGCTACCGAAACTCCTTGCTTTGCTTTGCTTTAAGCCGCAGCTCACCTGCTTGTATTGGGGTTATGTTCGGATAATTGTTTATATATATTATGAGAGCATTTTTTAAGTCAACGCCATATTGTCGCACTTAAATTTTATATTGCGGCATAAATCTATGGAGACAAAACCGTAGAAGGAGGGGGGTTCGTGAAAAAAGGACACGTATGTCTGTATGAGTTGGCAATTTATTTTGGCCAGACTTAGCACGCAACGATAAAGGACACACAAAAGGAGGAGGGAACACTGGGGGCAATCGAGCCAGATGAGGAGAAATGTGTGCAGATGGGGAGGAAAACCCTCAGGTCACAGGACCTGCAATAAGCCGAAAACTAAAAGCTAAAAGGGAAATGGCCGAATGTCGAATAGCCACATGCTTCAAGTGTATTTTCGGTATTTTCCTATGACTAAGCAGTTTCTGTTGCCGCAAGAGGAGAGTGGTGGGAAAAATGATGCGGAGGACACCTTTTGTGCATTGGTCGGTAAAAAAACAAGAAAAGAAGTGTCTGAAGCACTTCCAGCAGCAACAACAAATACCAAAAATAGTCACAGCAGAAATAGCCATTTGCCAGATTTGAAAGGTACATTTCTTAATACCCTTCTTTGCTTCATTGAAATAATAAGTAGTGCTTAAAAAATAAATTAAAAGGCGATTAATGCAAAAGCATATAGTTTCTTTTTGCCCATAATATTTCGTAATTTAAACGTTGCTTATAAAATGTTACTTGCTGGAGAAGAGTAGGCGTATTCAGAGCAACTACAGTGAGCACTGTAAGTGGGCGTCTATCTAGGTTTTTTTGCATGACTTTCCTGCTCAGTTGGTGGTCTTCTTTTAATACGCTGCGGTATATTTTTTGCTGCCAGCCAACCGAACACCCTAAACCGCCTCCTCCTTTCGCTCGAAGCGCACTTGGTAGCTTCTTCTTAGCAGGTGATAAGCCAGGTCAGGTGGTTGGGATTTTGGCAATGAGGGGGTGGCGTACAGTAGCTCCCCTCTAGGCATTCACCTGCTCCATTTGCAAAGGACCCATCGCTGAGGGGTGTGTGTTAGTGTTGAGGTGTGGATTATGCACATGTTGAGCATTTCGCTTAAGTGTTTTTTTCTGTCTTCTTTAGAGCTGGTTCTTGAATCTAAATTTTTGGTATTTCTGTGGGCTTATCTCTATCCCGAAAATTTTAATAATCATTTTCCGAAATGATTTACACTCCATTATATTAAATAAATTCAGCGGAATATAAAGGAATATGTAAATATGCGCAATAAAATTATGTAAAATAGCTGTGGTATTCCCGACGTCTCGGTTGAAATATAAATGGGTTTTCCTCTCTATCACTTTTCTTAACTTAATTTTACTTAGAATTTAATCACTTCATTATCTGATTAAATGAGTGATGTTTGGACTATAAAAATCAGCCATTATTTATCCCATACGTTTTTGCACTTTAACAAAGGTAGAACTGCCCGATTTTAAAGGAAAACCAGACTGAACTCCACTCGGTACTTGACTTCTTCGTGCCACTTCCCACTTGCCCTTCCGTTTCATTTCCCCTGTCCCAACCACTTCACGGCCCGTTTCATTCCGCCCATTCCCATTCCCCCGAGGTCCCTTCGTATTACTCCCGTGACATTTCTCGTGTGTTATCTTTAATTTTGCATATGGCAACGATTTTTAATGCACGATACGAGTCCTTTCCCCCTTCCGTTCGATCCTTCGGTTCAGTTGCGGCATGTTTGAGTTAAGACAACATTACAGTTCCGTTATTTCCGCGGCTCTTCCGTATCCTCTCCTGCATCGGACTCTCCGATTCCACGGTATGTGTGCTTATACACTGGAACAGTTTTCGGCGAAGTAGTGATCAATATCTTCTTTTAATTCTAAAATAAACCAACACTTTTAGCATGTATTGAGCAAGGGAAAACGCATATTTTAAGTCGATGCGCAAGTTTTCTTTTATTTACTACTAGCTAAAATAATTTGTTTGAGTGCATTTGTTGCGTATCTCGCGTTGTTTTATAATTAATGAGCACGCAAGGCTCTCAACGCTTGGCAGATGTCCTGCGCTCTCCGCTCGATGTCCTGGGCGCCTCTCTGGGCCCTCATCCTGTTTCTGAATTTATAGTTAAGTGCACTTTAAAGGACAAACACACATATAACTCACTTTACCCGCTGAGTTTCTTCGCTTCTTGTTCTCTTCCCTTTTTTCGGAGACCCCTCATGCACAGACATACACATAATGTGATCGCTTATCGATTTTACAATATAAAAAAGCAATTGCCTGCATAAAGGACCTGGAACAAGACCCCTTACTTACAATCGCAGGCAACCTCCCACTGGCAAGCAAAGTTAAATGTGATTTTTATGAGCTACGAGCGAACTTTGGGGCGCAGGAAGCTGGGGGCGGCACTCTGCCGTAATATTTATTATTGGTCCTTGGCCTGGTCACCCTAATGAGCTGTAAATTATCCAAAGGAGGCCAAAGGCAAGGAGCTCATTAATGTCTAGGGCACACACAGCTTCTAAAAGTTACGGCCCAAGCTAAATTTCACAATTTATCAATTCTATTTCGGCGTAAGTATTTGTTACGTGCCTAAGCTACACAACAAGTCCTAATACTAAAAATCAAGTATTGTTTTATTAAAAACCGCGAAAACCCAAGCTTTAAACATCATACTTTTTCTGAAATGCCCCGCTGACACTTTACGATCACCAAATTAGCATAGTCAACTCCCTTTGGGAAAAATCGGCTTTCACTGGAGCATATTTCATGGCTCACTTGCATTAGGAGGACGAAAACTCTTGCTCTCTGATTTCCCTGAATTCCCTTTCTCCGATGCTGCTGACCCAGTTCTTGATGATGAGGCATATCCCACTTAACCAGGCTCTCTTATCCTTACCACCACCGAATTCTTTGTTTTGCTTCGATTTGCAACGCCCACAGTTGGCCTTTATAACAGAAATAGAACCCGTCAATTCATATCTTTTATTTATAACAATATATATATTTATTTATTTATATATTTTTTATAAGCTTGGATTGAATTGGTTAACCTTGCTCAATTATTTCGCTGGATATTTACGTATTTCAGACTTTCGAGTACCGAATGACCACTGTATCCATCTAGATTTGTGCATCCCTCTTTCTTCGTGCCCTATATTTTATGAGCTCTGCTTGTATATCTTCGGTTCGAATATCGTTCAATTTGGCTGCCCAGACACATTGTTTAATATGCAAAGCCATTTCCCATTTCCCCGGCATTCCAATGCGTCTTCTGAAGGAAAGAGGAAAGGGGCAGTTGTGAGGGGAGTTCGAGAGTGAGCTAAGGGAATAGCCCAAAGGAAAATCAGCACGAAGTGTGCTTAGTGAGTGGGCGAGGGCGTGGCCGCCTTTCTTGGCGATGTCCTGCTCCTTGCTGCCATAAGTTAATGCAGGTTCCTGCCCCGAGGACAGCGGCTTCCATTGATGATTTCGGTGGCTGTGCTGCGGTGTCCCCAAGGGGATTCCCTGGCTTAGTCACTGCTTCTGGTGCTGCACATACTGATAACCGTTTGGTTCTTTTATGAGTTTATAAATTTGTGATTAACTTCAGGCGCATTCGCCAAACTTGATTGGGTTGTGTGAAAACTTCCGTGAATTGGTTGTGAGCTTTAAGAGGCGAGTTTGTACGGCGGGAAATATAAATCTTTTTTAATACCAACTAAATATTTTAAAGAATTATTATTATTATTAAATAAGAAATATTTGAAAATATAAAATGGAGATTCAGGTAAAACTTTCATGTTATCACACAAAAGTTGTATATGAAAAGAAACTGTTTTCTCAAGTGTACTCGTTATCCTTCACATATGTAAATGGTGATAGGATAAACGATCTTTTTCTGCAAGCCAGCCTCCGCCAGATGGCGCCTTTGTCTTAGCCCCGTTTTTACCCACTTGAAAGTCGGACATGAAAACATAATTTTACTTCAAAAATGCGATGACAGTGGCACCCGGGCCCGCCCACTTCAGCCCACGACCACGCCCCTTCACTGTACACACATGTGCGCCTTTTGTTGGCAAAGCGTCGACTGCGACTGCAAAAATTCTATTTCAATTGTTTGCCTAGATTATGCAGTTGTATTAAGAGTGGGGAGGCATAAAAAACCAAGTGTGGAAATGGGCACAGGAGCAGGACTATGAAGAGTCTAGGGTTGCCAAGGCGAAATGAGGAGAAAAGCGAAAAGAAACAAGTGCAGGATGAAATCCTTTAAAAAGCAGCGAACAAGAGAAAAGTGAGTGAGTTTACAAGGAGCCTGGGAGTTGAGACGACTCGACAATGCCATTTGCAACGCATTGCCATATTACATGAATTCCATTTACGGACTGCGACTGAAACTGGAGACTGGCGACTGGCGACCAGAGACCGGAGACCTGCGAGCTCCAGCCACGACCAGGTGAATCCAGGTGAAACACCATCAGGAGCTGCTCCACCTCCGGGAGGCAGCCTCTTTAAGATGTCGTGGGGAAGCGTAGGAATTTAATATCATTAAGATGATTAATGCGGCCTCAAGAACGGGGTATTCGAGAAACTACACCAGTGTGGTGTTGGGATGTATTAAATAAATAATAAAGGATGCATTTAAATTTAAATGCGGATTTCCCTCAAGATGTTTAATTTATTATTAAAGCTGGCTTATATTTTACTTAAATCTTTTTTATAACGCCCTTAAGGCAATATTTTTAATATTCTAAAGACAGATACAAAATACATATTTATCAAATATTATATCACCAGCTCAAAGTGAGTAAGTGGAACTGCTTTTCTCCATCTTTAAAAGGCAGCTGCTTCAATATCAAACTTGAGACGCGTCTGTCTTGCCACTTTGCTTTTCACCTCAACATAACACTCCCCATATGAAAATGGTGTTCTGGTTTTTTTTTAAAGGGGGAAGACCATCAAAGACTCCTTGACAGGCAGCTGACAACCTGCATGCAATTTACATTCAGCAGCCTCAGATTTCGGCTGCCTTGCGTGCGCTCTTAAATGCTTTTGCTTCGATTCGAGTTTTTCGGCGCGGTGACAGGAGCAGGAGCAGGAGCAGGAGCAGGAGTCCTTGGCCGTTATCCTTTAACTTTCCGCTGTCAATCCCTGTCGGCTGCCTTCGGGCTTCTCGGCTCTTTATCCACTCCCAGCAATTATGTTGCACTTTCGGGATAACTCAGCATGCTGCATTCTGGTCCCAGCAACTTCTGACGCCGCATCACTTGCCACTGTCATTCACAACATTGTTTGCTGCCCGGCACTATTAGCATTTTAATTAAATTTTCTGCTGTCGCCCGATGTCCAAGTGCCTCGCCTTCTGAAGACCCCTCCCCGCCCATTTGCATTCGCATTCCGCCAGCATTTATGCACCGCCCTTATGTTAAACTCACCCACAACGGTCATGGTCTCCGACTCGGATACGGTGTTGAATGCGGGCGCCTCGCCGGACACCTCGCACCGATAAAGTCCGGAACTCTGCAGGGTAACGCGGCGCAGGAGGATCTGGGTGTCCGAGGAGTTACGCAGCTATAAGAAAGAAGGGGGTAGGGATTTCCATGAGTATTCGAGATTAATTTAAGAAAATAATAATCTATATTTAAGAAATATAGTTCATATTGCTACAGAAACTCACAGCTACGTTGTGTAGTAAATCTGAAGGGCTTTAATGCAAAGGGCATTAAATTCCGTTTGTTTTTCAGTGAAGAACCCAAGCGAGATAAATTGCATGGCAATGAATCGACATAAAATCAAACGCAATTAGAGTCGAAGATTTTTCTATGGATGATTTTTAACATTCACGAATTCTAGGCAAAATGAAGATTGATGATGGCAAAGACAGTTTATTATTAGTTTAGCCACAATGTAGGCGAAAAATGTAATTTTCTCAAGGGCCGCAACGCAAGGAAACCCCAGCCAAAAGGAAAGCAAAAGTCATAAACCAAAAAGTCGGAAGAGCCAAGACCGAAAACCAAACAAGCAAATGAAAATGAAATATCCAGAAACAATCGCACAAGGGCCTGAATAAAAGATACAAGATACGCATGCAAGGGCGGTATGTTGTAAAAGTCACTCGCACAGTTTTTTCCTGTGCTGCCTTTTTCATTTTCCCTGGGCAACAATTGCAGTCAAGTCAAGTTCTTTAAGTTGCACTTTTATTATCGCACACACATGCGGGAAGAAAGTTTCATTTGATTCCAGCAAATTTTTATGAAAATTCTTTGCTCTCGCTTTGTGCTTTCCCCGGTCACAATTCCCTACCACCACTCCACTCCTCCTCCCCGGCGTAAACAATCACAAAAGTCACGTTCAACATTATTTTTGGTTTGTTGCTTGTTTTCAGCTGTCCCCACCCCACCCCCTTAACCCATGGCTGGCCCTTTGGTCCTCTACAATGACTGCGGACTGGCTTTTGTTTGTTGCCTTCTTGGCAGTACTTAAGCCGATTCTTCCACCCGTTCTTCAGCTGCGTCTTCGTCTTTTTGCCAATTCTTTCGCCACGCTCAAGTTGTCAGCAGCCCCTAGAAAAATGTTGCTGAGGGGGATGTTTTCCACAGGACCGTAAGGGGGTGGGGAAAGTTGTGGTGGGGGGAATGGCAGTGCTAGCCAAAAAACCAAATCTTACCGCAATTCAAATTGCAGTCTCCCTTTATTGCTTTCTCGTCGACGGCGCTTCGCTCATGACTGCAGATTGAAGTTGTTATTTGTAATTCCAAATTTGGTTTGGCTAAAAAGAATCAGGGCTCTAACCTTGTTTATGTGCCCTGATTGAAGTGGCCAACAAATAAACGAAGGACACATTCCGATTCGGAATAACAGAGGGCTAAGATGCTACCGCGGGGAAATACATATTTACATTAAACCAAGTCTTATGGTAATGAAAAAGTCTTTCATAGAATGTCTTTGGTGTAATTAGTTAACTTTACGATGCAGCTTTTAAAGAAAGCAGAAGTTGAAGCAGTCTTTCAAAATAATAGTACAAAAATAATTATATATGCGAGACTAGCTCTCCGTAATAAAAAGCACTAAAACTTAAATAAATTTTCTAATAATTTATGCCTACATATCATACCCAGATCTTGATTAAATAAAGTAATTACTTTATTCAGTGCAACGAAAGCTGATGTGAAAATGCTTATCAAGCGTTTCCCAGCCATACCACAACAACATCATTACTATAGCCGGAGTGCCCGTCTTCTGTTCTAATAATTTCCCTACACCCAACTCGACCTTCAACCCTTTTCGAGTGGGCGGCGACGAAATGCAGATATGGAAACCCAAAGAAAATTATGCCGCATTACGCATTATGCTTCCACTAAAGAAGTCTCCCTTAGCTAGCGTTTTTCTTGCCCTTCCTCTCCCGCTCCCGCCACCCATTTACTTGTATTTTCCGATTTTCCCTTTCCAGCAGCTTGGCCACACGCACACAGGCCATAAAACACGCTGGCACATTGCTCATACGCCACGTTAGCCTCGACAATTGACGGGATTTACTTCTCTGCGCACTGAGAGAATTTAAGCCTTATTGATATGAATTAAATATTCCGACTTTAAATGATTTTTTGAGACAATATATGCAAAAAGTATGCGAAGCCCTTTATTATCTTTAAAATATTGATGAACTACGAGAGATTAAACCATTATAATACCACCTTTTCCTCAGTGCTATCGCACTTTTCTTAGCCTCCTTTTGCTTTGACTGACCGTCTCACAGAGTAGACGCACTTAAGTGCTTTTGGCAAATTATTATTATTAGAGCGGCACGGAGCTAAGAGGGCCAGCAAAGGGATATCAACTTTGTCTGGTATATTGACAGCTTTAAGTGATTTCCGTTAACCTTTTCGATCGCAAGGCAAGCAGACCAACACGTGACCTTAACTTGGAGTGGGCGGGGAACTGCAAATGGACGGTTGGCGGGGCGGAAAGCAACCCAACCAGACACACATTTTTATGGGCATCTAAGGAAGGTTACGTCCACATTAAATTAAAGTTAAATGGCAAAACTACGTGGCAGCAATTTTCATTCCAGCGAAGACGTAATCAGCAACAAGCAGAGTGAAAACAGGGGAGCGAATGCGGGCGGAAAACTTGCGAAAAGAACAGAAAGAGCTTCCCTCGCCATTGTGGCAATTACATGTTTTAAAATAATCATTATGATAGGGTCGTAACACTAAATCCAAAGCAACAGACCCCACCCTCCTCAGAATCAGCGCCATAAAGTGTAATAAAATTTGAAATTAAATTTTTCCGCTTCCTTTCCTTAGATAAGCAACACCTGTTGCTGTTTTCGATTGGCACTGGGAGAAAAAATGTGTATTGGTCAGCATATTGTCTTGTGTCAAGTGTGGGCTCATGATTTAACTTAATTCTGCCACTCAGAAATGAAAAATCACAAAAAAAAGATAAATTTGTACACATCTTAAACATAGAATGTCTGAAGCAGCTTTGCATTGTTGATCAAAGCGTTTTCATATGGCTGTTATATTTATAAAAACTAAAATATTTTTTAGGACACAATAGGGTTGTCTATAAAAGTAACCAAGTTTAAAAGTATAGTATTATAAATTTGTTGCTATTCAAAAATGTATACAATCAGCATATAATTAGCTATGAAGAAATGTACTTTCTATATCCTGTTGCGGTGCACTTACATCGATGTTGACGCCGGGCAGGGGGAAGGACTGTCCGGGGGGCTTATCGCGTGGCACATAGCGGTAGATCTCGTGCCCGTCCTTATACCACTTCACCGAGTACAAGGACTCCCCGTCGAGGGCGTAACGACAGCCCAGAGTGGCGCTCTTCAGGCGCATTATGTGATTGGGTATCTTCACCTCGGTCATTGTCAGCGAGCTGCTAATGTCTGCAATTAGCGTGGGTAAAGAAATAGAAACGGAAGTTAGTGTGGCGAAATTATTTTTAATGGATTCCCCCGAGATGATGCCGTTCCCAAGCTCATGCCCATTCCCATTCCCATTCCCATTCCCATTCCCATTCTCAACTGCAAGTGCACGAAAGTTACCCCCTTAATTCGTAAGCCCTAGCCCACTTTCATATTTCAACTGTTATAATTCCAGCTGGCCATATTTTCCCACCAAAAAGGCCAGAAGGCAAACACAAAAAACCTTTTGCGGCCCTGTCACATGAATTTGTACTTGTCCTGCTGGACTCTGGCTACCAGATCCCGGGGAAATCCAGTGCACGTCACTGCAGTCCACAACTCACGTGTAAGGCGAAACAAAAATACATGCGCCAAAAACTCAAAGTCCCAGTAGAAAAGTAGGCATTTGCGAGTGGAATTTAGATGCCCTATATGCAAAAGTCTAACTAATACTGTTCCACATCCACAGTTCAAAAGATAGTTTTAAAATAGATATATTACAAGATGTTTAATTTAGAAATTTTCATTTGAAATGAGTCAGTTAAACTATAAAAATATAAATTTAAGTGATCACAAAGAAAGGGGATTTTAAGTTGAACTTGGTCACTACAATAGGTTGTATACCCCGACGAAGGGTACTCAAATCCAAACAGAGCCAAAAGCTTTTAAATCACAAACAGCAAAACCTGGCACATATCCCCATATTTGCCTTTGGCAACATTTTGGCGGCTTTTCGGTGAGTCCTCGAAGGACTAGCGGTACCCGTAACCGCGGCCAGGACGCTAACCGTTATATTTTGAGCTGTGTGGGTGGGGTTGCGCCAACTTATTTAATATACCGCTACACTTTTCATTTTTGCAAACGTCAAACGTGAAAAAGTGAGTTCTTTCTGTGGGAAAGCGGGAAAAACAAATACTCACGCACACCAGCACAGACACTACTCCTCAGACGCATATGTATATGCATGTGTGTGGGTGTGTGCGCTGTAACGTGCAGCGCCGCCATTGAATTTATCACATTCACATGCAAATTGCGCCAAACGACCTTATTATGCAAATTGCCAGCTGCAAATGGAGAACGAAATTGATTTTCCTGCATTCGCCGCTTCAGGAACAACATCACGAATAAGCCGAGGGAAAGTGCGGATGGCAAAGGAAAGGGCTCATGCACAAGGAACTAAAGGAACTAGGGGTACAGTGGTCACCTGATAAGGCCAATGAATTACAACACGGAAATGTGTAGCTTGCACGATCAGTTAAATTGGCGAAGCAGTGAGTGCGAATTTAAGGACGAAAACGGCGCGCTATTGGGATAAATGTGACGGATTTACGTATCAACACTATTATTTTACTCAAAGAAATGCGCAAAAGTAATGTTTCAAGTGCTATTATTCGATATAATTACTTTTAAATAATATTTTCCATTGTAATATAGTTTATTTCCCGATCTCCTGTTCATCTCCATGTGCAGGGTTTTGTAAGCTCAGGATCTCCTGTTGTCTATGACATCGTTCAACAGTTTTGCGGCACTGGGCATGCCACCTTTATGTGACAACTTGTGAGGAAGGGGCAGAAAACACCACCTTGAGGGGAAAAGGGGGCAGAGTGTGTGGTTTTCACAGCGACAAATGGCGAATATATTGAGCTGTCAGACGCCCAACGGAAAACCCCAGCCGGAGGTCATGCACACGGAGACATTGGCACAGTGGCATCTGTAGAATTGAACACTGTGAACACAAGTAGGGCAGCGAGACACTCCAAAAAATACGTGCTATTGTATTCATCAAGTTTTATTCATATCAAATGCCACTAAGGCGAATGAGTAATCTAAGCAGGCCAGAAACTACTTTGGTTGCCATTCTGTAATCCGATATCAGAAAAGTAAAATTAAATGTTATCTTATAAGTTTTTCATTTATTATCTAGCATGTAGGTCAAGCATTTCTCCAAGTGCACAGAAAAAGACAAAGTAAGGGGACGCAAAAAGAGAGAGCAGCGGATTTGCAATCGGAATCAAAATCGCTGCCGCGCCTTCAATAAAAAATACGTTGAATGCTTTCAGCTTGTTTACTTGCACGTGTGTGTTGCCCTTTTAGTGTGCGTGTGTATGGGTGGCCGTGTGCTGTTGGCAGACAATTGGCATAAAGGGAAGAAGAGGCAGCGATGGAAGCCACAAAATGAGTTAGTTGTTTGCCTTTTTGCTGTTCCACAGACACACAAGCACACACAAGCGCACATGCAGTCCACTCTTTTTTGGGCTCGAATATTTTATTGCCCCAAATACAAATCGGCAGCAACAACAACATCGTGCATTAAAAATTCATTTCCGTGTCGGCATATTTTTGTTAACCCAACACAAGAAAAAGCCAAATAAATGGAGTAGACGGAGCCATAAAATGTGCTAATAAGCTCCGGATTTGTGTCAGTGTACAAGAAGAAGGAAAATACGTTCGTATACATTTAAGGATTCAGAATGTTGTAGAAAGTAACATTTGCAATTAACTGGAAGTTAAATTTTTTTACAAATTGCACATTTCAGTAAATCATGAGTTAATATTTAATACCATAATTTTTAATTATTGAGATTTAGTTTTAGTAAGCCCCACAACTTTCCCTGCATAAATATCTTCAGAACCAATTGACATTATCTTAGAAACTATAATTTAATTGCAAAATTCCCGTACTATAAAATACAATGCAGAGATCCTGGTAATTTAAGACCGGCTCACCCATGTCCTGTAGGGATACGCCTTGCGGTCCTAGCGCCTTAATTGCAGTTGACTGGCATTTGACTTTGCAAATTGGCCTGGCACATTTCACCCTCTCCGCCACTCCCATCGCCCCTCTCCTTTTGGCACTGCCGGTGCAGGACCCACTGCGTAAATGGAGTGTGTCCTTTTTTCAACTGCAGACTACGGCAACAACAAGCGGCTGCACATTAAAAATTAAAAAAGCCAACAGAAGGGCAAGGACATTTGAAGCGAAGCGAGGAGCAGGGTCGGTCTGGGGATTTAGTTAATAAGAGGGTTCGAAAAATGATACTAATTAATATTAAATTGCTGTTCTGACTGCTGGGCAAATGGTATGTCTAAAATCATAATACTTAGGCATCCATAGTTATTTGTTTTTTACATGCTTTGGGGCGAACCCCTATGACTACGCCACTGTGTGTGCAAAATGGGAGAAAGAACCCGATCCACTCAAAGTCAAAAGCCAAAAGCCAAAAGCTAAAGCTAAAGTCGAAGAAAAGCAAAAGAGCGGGAGGGAGAATTAAGGGGAGTAGCTGTTAAGGAAAATTTGCCCACGACAACGAACACAGCAGGAAGAAAAGTTAAAAAAGAAGGAAAGTAATTTCATGCATCGTTTAATTTTCATTCGGGTTTAATTTGTGCAACGCCCCCACAACATAACCCCTCTTTTTTCAGGCTTCCAGCTCCGCCATTCTCACCATATCACCATAAAGAGTTCCTTGATGGTGTTCTTCCCCTTTCGCCGGAATGTTTGCAATTCCCCATTTAGACCTAATACTCAACAGCCACTTCCAGCTCAACTGACAATTGAAACAGCAAATAAAGTGAGGCCAAAAGGGGTAGAACAAATGTTGGGCAACCAGAAACACAAGAGCCTTCAAAAAATACAATATCACGGAGCTGAAACTGACACCAGCCAAATTTGAAGGGAAATAAAATTAAATGAAGCGCAGCTCTGCATTCATGTTCCACTGAATGAGCATTTCGCCTAGAAAAGTTTTCAAATCATTGATATCGAAGTATATTCATAAAACCCTAGTTTGAAATAACACCATACCAGTTAAGTGTAATATACTTATTATATATTACTTGTTCCAGAACATATTACCCTTTTTTCCCAAACAGCCGAGTTGTCCGCATCCAAAAATGGTTTCAACTTTAATGAAGTCAATTTTGGAACTTGTCCCTGACACAGCCACCATACTTTTGGTGTTCATCCTGAAGAAAAGTCTGTACCCCTTTTTCGTAATTGAAATTTTTATAGTTGTCGCACAGTTTGGTATCTCGGGCAAAAGGAAATGGAAGGGGCGGGCTGAGACAAACTTTTATCAGCGCCTGGCGCATTCTTTAAAACAATTTCCAGTGACTGCCACTGCCACCCACGCAACGTCCCTTTTTCCGCAACAAATTAATCCCTTTATTTGCATAATTGAAAAACATCAACTGAAGCAGTCAAAAATATCAAGAACTCCAAGTTTAGTGGCCAGCGGGCAAGTATCCCGAATGAAGCGAGTGACAAGGATACACTAAGATTTTGAAAGTTATGAACATAATATGGAATCTTTCATTCAGATATAACTAAAGAGTAGGTGCATATTGCGTGCAAGCTTGCATATATGTAATTATACATTCAGCTAATTTTATTTAATGTGATAGATTTTCTTCAAATCTCTGTCCAAAAGGTTCTAAAAGATTTTTCGAGTGCTGCGGCCCGAACTTTCGACACATTTTAATGTTGTTGGCCGCATCGCTGCCCTGGGGAGCTATTTAACATTTTTCCAACACTTTGATAATCGCACTTTGCGGGCAGATTAATTATTTACGAGCGGCGTGTCCTCTTCTACCTGAGTTCACTCGCAACGTTTAACCCGCAGACAGACGCAAGACATCCGAGAGTAGACGACAAAAGCCCAGAAGTTGCTGTTAAATCATGGTAATGCCTAAAGCTCCAACGCAAACCGCCCCCCGCTGCAAATCCCAAACCACCAATGCCAGGCCAGGTATATTTGTCGCCGGTCTTAAGAGATTGCGGCGCACAATTTCCGCGCTTGGTTGGGGTCAGGCCCGCTTTCCCGCGAGATTTTCCGGCGGAAAAGCAACCGCAAGACATCAAAGCGCGCAGCGAGGACCAAAAGCCAACGGAAGCCGCGTTGGGTGTGAGAAGCATGCGAAGGCAATGAAATGCCAAAATTATGAACAGTATTCAAAAATATTAGCAGTATAATTTAAAGTGT